TATTTCATTTGATTAACAACTTCAAGTAAATTAATTTATTTTACTCACTGGTAATAATAAATGTAGAATAAACATTGAGAAAAATGAGAAATAATGACAATTGCATCATAAATCTTTGAAATTAAACAAGCTTATTACTTTCAACAATAATAATAAATAGTCACTTTAATATAATTTACACTGAGAAGTTTAAACTAAACTAAATATTTTAAAATACATTTTATCAGTTAATATATATTTGTTTTCATTTGTATACCCGCCCGTCGGGTTTGGCCCTAGTATATTGATATATTAGAATTAGACCATTGGTTCTAAGTATAAAAATTTAGATTGGTCCAGTTAATAATATTACTTAGACCATTGATTTTGAGTTCATTGATCACATTTATATTTGGTTCAATATATGATAAACCCAGGTTAGTTAGGAACATTGCATTTAATTCAGTTGTGCAAAACAATAAACTAAAAAATATTAATCATAGTAAGTATTTTTAGCTTATTAAGAATATTGGTTTATGTTAATTAATTTTTTTGTTTGTGTGAAAATATGATAAAAATATATTGATCAATCCTCCAAAAATTCTACCTATCCTACCTTCTAAATTACAATCTCAGATCTACAATATTTCTCTACCAAAATGATAACTTTCCAAAAATATTATTTTTATCAATTTTAGTTAAAAGATATAACCTGTTGACCAAAAACTCTAAGAGAATACTCATCAATTTACAAAAATTGTTGTTTTCCTAATTACTAATTCATATTCCCAAAACTATAATATATTTCTATAAAAATGATAATTTTCCAAATATAGTATCTTTTGAAAAATACAATCTGTTGATGAAAAATTCTAAAAGAATATTCATCAATCCACAAAAACCTTTTGTCATCCTAATTTCTAAATCGCAATCCCAAATATACAAAATTTCTTTATAAAATGATAACTTTCCAAAAATAAAAAAAAATTCACTTTTATTTAAAAAATATAACCTATTGGTGAAAAATTGAAAATTCTAAGAGAATACTCATCAATCTACAAAAAATTGCTTTCGTAATTTCTAAATCACAGTCCCAGTACTATAGTATTTTATATAAAAAGGATAACTTCCAAATATATAATTTTTTTTAAAAAAAATTAAAAATAAAACCTATCGATGAAAATCCTAAAATAATATTCATCAATCCTTAAATCACAATTCTAAATCTACAATATTTCTCTAAAAGAATACTCACCAATCTACAAAAATCCTTTTTATCATAATTTTTAAATAAAAATCTCAAATCTACAATATTTCTCTACCAAAATGATTAAAAATAGCATTTTTAAAAAATATATATTTTAAAAATACAACCTAGTGATCAAAAGTCTATTCGTACTCACTGGCAACAGTGAATCTGTAATCAAAAGAGATATAAATATTTTATGTGATGAAAGAACATGAAAAAACAAACATAAGAGATGATCATTTTGTTCTTAGCTTTGAGAATAACTACATTAGTGTTCTCTATATTATGAGAAATAAGTGTACGGTGATGCTTAAAGGATTAAGTTGCATAGTCATGAACCACAAGGGAAAAGAGAGCAAAATTGGCTATATGGTTGTTTTCCTCTGCTGAGTTCTATTTCTTCCTTTTTTCACTTTCTTTTTCCTGTTGTTAAGGTTTTTGAATGCTGTGTTTCAAAAAAAAAGGGTTTTTGAATGCTGATTCCACTTTTGGAGTTCTATATTAATCACTTGTCCATGATGTGAGACAATTATTTTTTGAGTGATTTAGTGAACTACCCATATTTGAAGCTCAAATTAGCAAAATACCATTGATTGGACATAAAGGACACTGACACAACCATTTGACAAGGAAATGCCGAGAATGCCCTCTCATTAATACGAAGCGTAAAAACATTTGTTAACATATAACACTTCTGTTAACGTCTAAAATATATGTTAACAGCCAACACATTTATTATCGCGAAGCATAAAAATAATTGTTAACAGATAACATTTTTGTTAGCGTCTACAATATTTGTTAACAGCGAACACATTTATTAACGTGAAGCGTAAAAATAATTGTTAACAACTAACACTTCTGTTAACATCTACAATATTTGTTAACCGCTAACACGACGTCGAATCTAAAACCCAGAAAAATGATATCATCAAAAAATTGAGGATTCAAAGCCACTTATCAAAAAAATAATGAAATTTAAAATTTAATTGTATATAGAATGATAGAGATTTGTAAAATAATTAGGGATTGGAGAGAAAAAAAAGGTCAAAAAATTTGAGGATTCAAAGCCATTTATGAAAAAATAATGAAATTTAAAATTTAATTATATATAGAATGATAGAGATTTGTAAAATAATTAGGGATTGAAGAGAAGAAAAAAGGGATGAGATGTCAAAGAGAGGAGAGAGAGTGTAGAGAAGGGCAAAATGGTCCAAGGAAAGTGATTGTCACATCATGGGTAAGTCTCTAATTATAGGTGCCAAATAGGGCACTTTAGCCAATTATCTCTTATTTTTTAGACTATTTCACCTCTACTTAGGAGCTGTATCTAACATAGGTGTGTAAGTCATGCTATTAGTCTATTTTATAGATGAGATTTTTTTTTATGAATTCGTTTTCTTACGTATTCTCTTTCTATTTTATAGTATTTTTTCTCTAAACTTTTTTTATGTGTTTTCATGAGATTGATTCTACAGAAACAAACTATTTTTTTTGTTTATCAGAGAATAATAATGTTTTACAATTTTATTATGAAATTTTCTATTGTTTAATTATATAACATAAAATATGTTAACAAATATTATAGATGTTAACAGAGGTGTTAAGTGTTAACAATATTTGTAGATGCTAACAGAGGTGTTAACTGTTAACAAATACATGTACCATAGGTGTTAACAAAGATGTTAGCTGCTAATAAATATTTTAGATGTTAACAGAGGTATTAATTATTAACAAATACATGTACCAGAGATGTTAATATAGGTTTTGAAACTTTGTGTGAATCTTAGTAAAAATTTATCAATTTATTTTTTAATCTTAGTAGAAGACAATGATAAATCGAGTTTTGAATTTGTTTTTTTTTTCTAAAAGCTTGATTGATAAAAGAAAGAGATGAGCATGGGGAAATAAAACCATAAAACTGATTTTAAATAAACATATGAGAAGATAAGGATGTTAGCGATGTCATTGTAGAAAATAGAAGCTTTTGTCTTAAAACAAGGTTATTTTCGTTCAATTACTTCTTAAAATGTATAAGAGATACAATTAATGTCAACTCATGTACAAGTCACTAATTGAGACGTGTATAGGTGTATTTGGCTAATTCACTTTTAATAATAATCTCTTCTTTTTTTTTAAAGTCTATTCTCACGTTTTGTTGATATATATATATATATCAGTAGGAGTCTGGAGAAGAATGTAATTTGTAAACTAGACTACAACTACGGTAGATTGATGTGATGTATCTTGTTTTTTTTCTGTATAATTGTTCTTACGGAGTATTGTAAACTTGACAATAATGTTTATGTGATTTGTTCTCGTGTCTTTGCTCATTTGTTTTTTACCGGAGTATACATGTTATGTTTGTGTCAGTCTAGTTTAATAACACCGTGAAAGCATGTTTAGTAAGATCCTAAAACAAAAGCGTCGAGTTACTGTTTTTACGTAACTTATTTCTGACATCATTGATTCTAGACAAGCGAGAATAGGTGATTTTGTAGATTACCCTCTCCTAAAACCTCCCTACTTTTTCTCGAGAAGTTCACTGTTTCAGCTTTTCATTTTTAAAGAAATTTTACATTTATCGAAGCTATAATTAACTTACAAAGAAAAGCAAGACAGAGCCTTTAATTTGTTTTCTTTTTCTTATCAGCTAGTATAGCACCTTAATATAGGACAATAAATGTAACAATGAAAACTAGATTTGAAAGGTCAAGATCATTCAAATTTTACATGTCCCCATGCACTACAAGTGATCAATACAAACGTCATTGTGAGAACAGAAAACAAAAACAATAGACCAAAAAAGTGCCCAGTCAGCTTCTATACTTTACGCATCACAATTTTCCCTTACAACTAAGCATTGCAATATTGCATAAATGCCTATTCCACATTTCTTGCTTTCCCCCATCGTTTATCTAACTGATTCAGAAACTATTCTTTTTAGCTACTTTAGATATTAAAGATCCAGTGAATAAAAGGTGGAAAACAAATAATAAAGCAAAAAAAATAGAGCAAAAGTTAGGTCAAAGGATCTAAAACCATTAAATTTAAACAAAAGCTAGAAAAAAACAACATCTTAACTTTATCCAAACATAATCATAGTTTCAAAACCTAACAATGAAGGTTTCATTAGACCACTAACTCACTTTCACGTGTACAACAACTATCAAATACGAGACCACCTTTTAATCATACAAGGCGTATAAGCGAAAGTTCAAGGTCATTTTAGTAATTGCATCCTTCGTTCAGAATCACATCACCGAACAACCATTTGGGTTCTCATCGCTGAATAACTCAAACGAATCGGACGGTCGAGATGGATACGGGTTTTGATCGGGCGGTAGATAGCCAGGGTGCATATACGCATAGGAATGAGGTGGCGCATGTGAGTAATACGATGCAGCGTCTACGCTCAACGGAGGTTGAGCAACGTTATAGCTTACGCCATACATAACCTGCGGCGCATAGTAGCTTGGTGGATAGGGATACATATCCTGACGTGGCGCAATGTTATTGGTTGGCATTTGATGGCCATCTGGTTGATTGATTAAACGGTCGTGATCTTCTGCTGCAGGAGTAGTAATGGGTGAAGGAAGTGATCTAGTACGGCCGGGTCCACCGTTAGGATTGTTAACACTGCTCATGTTTTGCCCTTTCTTTTTCTTCTTTTTACCAACACTGCCACTACTCTCTTCAGCTTTCTTCTCTTCCGTCGGTGCCGTCTCCGGTGAAGGTGACGGAGAATCTGCCGGAGCAGAGTCTTTCTTTTTGCATTTATCCTCTTTCACTGGAACACAAGCTTCACTGCTGTCGCCGGAACTACACTCTCCGGCGCCGGCAGGTTTTTCAGATTCCGGTTTATCAGAACCGGAAGAGGCAACTTTATCGGTTATTTCCGGTTTTTCTTCTTTTTTCTTTTTATTCTTCTTTTTCGGGTCGACGGGTTTATTCTCTTTCGGGTCATGGGGTTTGTTCTCTACCGGGTCGGGTATCTCCGGCAATAGATCGGCGTTTTTGCCTGCCTTGTGAAGCTTCTTTAACAGAATCTCTGGTGAGACAATTCCCATCACCGTTACATTGTTCTGCTTCACATCAATGTCCACTCTATAAACACCTACAAAAAAAAAATTACATTTGTATGCTCAATAATAAATTTAACAATCCTGTAACCATAATTTTATATTCCTCACAAAAAAAGAGATTTATTTCATAAGTTTAAAACCAACAACAACACTGAAAGTGATTATATATGTGTACCTTCAATGCTGGTAAGGATTTTTTTCACTTTTCTTTTGCAGCCTTCGCAGTGAATGGAAACCTTCAAGTTGCATGTCTGCACGTCAAAAAAATTAGATACACAAAATAAATAAAGAACAAATTATTGAAAATATATATATATACGAAAGACAAAATAAAAATAGTTATACTTGTAGAATAGTAGAATACTTATCAATGGGTTTTCGAGAAGATTCATCTCGAGATAGTGAAGTTTATAAACTAACTACATGGATTATTGAGTTCAAATACTCAAACATAAAGTTTTATGCAGAAAGAGTAAATAATACCTTGTATGGAAGAGCAAGGCTTGGTGGAGTAAGATCTTTGACTTGTGGGGATTGCTTCTGTTCTGTTTTCTTAGTTTCCGGTTTCATTTCTTCTGTTGCCATTTCAGAAAACAAAAAGTTGTTAGCTCTTTGAAGCGGAAGAGAGAGAGAGAGAGACGAATGTGTCTTGGGGAAGGAAAAAGATTATGGGGAATACAGTAAGACTCAGATTTAAAGGATGGGGGAATGTGTGCTTTTTACTCTATTCTTTTAATAAGAAAATTATTCAAGCTCTCTTTAAACCACAGCATGCCCAACACAGATTTTCGAAAGAGTTTAATATGGCATAAGTTAATCTACAAAAACAATTAATGGTTAAGACTTGAGAGCAAGATGTAAATGCCGGTTAACTTGTCAAGAGAATCCATAATGCCTACTGGACAGTAGAAAACTCTTCCGTAGAGATTAAGGCTCCGATCGATTGGTAACCATCGGTTAATCACATTGTATTTTTCGTGGATTGATGAATATTCTTTTAGAATTTTCGTGGATTGATGGATGTTCTTTTAGAAATTTTCCAATAGATTGTATTTTTAAAAATATTTGTTAATAATACTATATTTGTAAAGTTATAATTTTGGAACTGTGATTTAGAAATTAGGAGAACAACATTTTTAATAGACTGATGAGTATTCTTCTAAAAATTTTGATCAATAGGTTATATTTAAAAATAAAATTAATAAAAATGCTATTTTGGGAAAGTTATCATTTTATCAAATAATATTGTAGATTTGTGATTGTGATTTAGAAATTAGTTGATGATAGCTTAACTTAATTTTAAAGAGGCTGATTCTGCTCCAATACAGAGTACCAGCACTTGTTTATTTGTAGAGCTATTCAAAGTATTCGCCTTAAGGATCTGTTCTTGAGACTGATTTTCTATGTTTATTATACTTAACACTGCTTCGAGTTCAATCTAGAAGATAAAAGTATCATTTGTCTCGACCATCACTTGTATGTAATGTATCATTTTTAAACGTTTCTCATAAAAGTACGTAATGTATGCCATTATTATATATACTAATATAATAAAACGAATTTGGGAAAAGTTTTAATAGCAATTTTCCATTTTAAAATCATAACCAAAAATAATTGTAAGAAAATTATTTGATAAGAATTTTACTTTTAATATTGTGACATGTGTTAAAATATCTTATGATTAAAAATATATATATACTAATATAATATACTTAGAACCATACAGAAACAGTTCTGAATCCTTCAGAAATAATTCTGAATCTTTCAGAAAAAAATTCTGAACTGTTTTAAAAAAAAAATCTTTTAGAAAATCTTTTGAACCTTTCAGAAAAATTACTTTTAATCTAATGGTATACATTAGGATGTGATAACCTAATGAAGTTATCACAAGAGGCTATTTGGATTGATGAATCTTTTTTTAGATGGAAGGGTTTCTTTGGGCAGTCTCTTGCCTGAGAGTCCTGAGGATTCCTTCGGTACGGATTGAGACGGACTACTCAGATCTAGTAGACATGACTAATAATCCGGAGGAATGACCGAACTTCACGACAGAGATTGAGAGGTTCCTGCGTTAACTGGAGGACTTCGAGGATGTAAGGCTTTCTCATATTCCAGGTTGTATGAATGGTCGAGCGGACGCACTAGCTAAGGAAGCAAGAAAGAAAGAATTCACTTTTTCCCATATAAATCAGACAGGTCACACGGAGAGGCTCTCCGGAGAATTGGTTCGTCTGACCACCACTTGATCTAGCTTAAAATGGGCAGCACACAAAAAAAAAAAAGATTGATGAATCTTATTTTAGAACTTTTCATCGATAGGTTGTGTTTTTTAAATATATATTTTTAAATATATTATATTTGGAAAGTTATAACTTTTATAAAAAATAATGTTATTTTAGGAAAGTTATCTTTTTATAGAGACATATTGTAACTTTGGGATTGTGATTTAAGAAAAAATTTTGATTGATGAACATTCTTGTAGAATTTTGATTGATGAACATTCTTTTAGAATTTTCATCAATAGGTTGTATTTTTTAAATATTGTTTTTAAAATAAAATATTTGAAAAGTTATCATTTTTGAAGAAAATATTATAATTTTGGGACTGTGATTTAGAAATTAGAAAAACAATATTTTTTGTAGATTGATGAGTATTCTCTTAGAATTTTTATCATTAGATTATATTTTAAAAATAAAATTGATAAAATGCTATTTTTGGAAAGTTATCATTTTATGGAGAAATATTGTACATTCAAGATAGTGATTTAGAAATTAGGATAACAAATTTTTTTGTGGATTGATGAATCCTTTTTAAAAAAATTTCATCAATAGGTTGTGTGTTTTAAATATATTTTTAAAAAATATTATATTTGGAAATTTATCAGTTTTTATAGAAAACAATTATACATAGTTTCGGAACTGTGATTTAGAAATTAGGAAAAACAACCATTTTTTAGATTGGTAATTATTCTCTTAGAATTTTTGAACAAAAGGTTATATATTTAAATAAAATGGATAATAATGATATTTTAGGAAAGTTATCATTTTATAAAATCATATTGTAGATTTTGGATTGTGATTTAGAAATTAGGATAGCAAACTTTTTTTGTGGATTGATGAAGTTTCTTTTAGATTTTTTCATCAATAGGCTGTACTTTTTAAATACTGTTTTTTTAAAATACTATAATTGGAAAGTTATCATTTTTTTGTAGAAAATATTATAATTTTGGGACTGTGATTTAGAAATTAGGAAAACAGTATTTTTTGTAGATTGATGAGTATTCTCTTAGAATTTTTTATTATTAGGTTATATTTAAAAATAAAATTGATAAAATGCTATTTTTAGAAAGTTATCATTTTATGGAGAAAATTTTTACATTTGAGATTGTGATTTAGAAATTAGGATAACAAAATTGTGGATTGATGAATCTTCTTTTAAAAATTTATCAATAGGTTGTGTTTTTTAAATATATATTTTTAAAAATGTTATATTTGGAAAGTTATCTCTTCTATAGAAAAAAAAATATTGTTTTGAAGTTGTGATTTAGAAATTAGGAAAAAAACAAATTTTGTAGATTGATATGTTCTCTTATAATTTTTAAACAATATGTTATATTTTTAAATAAAATTGATAATAATGGTATGTTAGGAAAGTTATCATTTTATAGAGACATATTGTAGATTTGGATTGTGATATAGAAATTAGGATAACAAAAAATGGATTGGAATATTCTTTTATAATTTTTTATAGATATGTTGTATTTTTAAAATATATATATATTTTTTCTAAAATACTATATTTAGAAAGTTATCATTTTCGTAGATTTTTTTTTTATAATTTTTGGACTGTGATTTAGAAATTAGGAAAAAATAATTTTTGTAGATTTATGAGTATTCTCTTATAATTTTTTATCATTAGGTTATATTTTTTAAAATAAAACTTATAAAAATGCTATTTTGGAAATTAATCATTTTATGGAGAAATATTGTACATTTGAGATAGTGATTTAGAAATTAGGATAACAAAACAATTTGTGGATTGGAATATTCTTTTATAATTTTTATAGATATAGTAGAACCTCTATGAATTAATACTTGATAAACTAATGATCTTTATAAATTAATAAATTTCTCCGGTTCGAACTTGGACCGATTCAAAATTTGACAAAAATCGATAAAATAATAAAATAATAACTTTTTAGAACATTCTATGTAAATCTATGGTCCCATTAAAATTATAAATCAATAATTTATATGTATACATATTTTATATAAGTAAGAAACTATTATTTTATTGTTTATTTTCTATTCATAATTTAATTTTTTTATATTTTCCTAATACATAATATACTTTTTATGAGGATTAGTAATATTATATCAAAATAATAATTAATGTCTATACACTAAAATTAAATATTTTTCTTACTTATAAAAATATATTTTAAAATAAAAAATCTAAATAAAGAAACTTCTGTAAATTAATATCTCTATAAATTAATAAAATTTCAAAGTCCCAACTTTATTAATTTATTGAGGTTTTACTGTATGTTGTATTTTTAAAATATATATTTTCTTACAAAATACTATATTTGAAAAGTTATCATTTTGTAGAATTTTTTTATAATTTTTGGACTGTGATTTAGAAATTAGAAAACAATATTTTTTGTAGATTGATGAGTATTCTCTTATTATTTTTTATCATTAGGTTATATTTAAAAATAAAACTGATAAAATGCTATTTTGGAAAGTCATCATTATATGGAGAAATATTGTACATTTGAGATAGAGATTTAGAAATTAGGATAACAATTTTTTGGTGGATTGATGAATCTTTTAGAATTTTTCATTGATAGATTACAAACTCTCTCTTCCTCGTCCTCCCGCCTCTTAGGCCCCTGATCCGACGACAGACATCGACACCATGATTAGAACCTCTTCCCACTCCAATCAAAAAACAAATCCTAGTAAAGAGAAAACAAAAGGTGCACTATGTGAAAAAGAGAATCATGGAAGAACCATTTTCTGAGTAAATAATGAGAAAATGGTTGTCTAAGCATGAAAGCATACCTTTTTATAGTCGAGACCCCCCCCCCCCCCCCCCCCCCCCCCCCCCCCC